AGCCGCCGCATCGGCGATTGAGGCAGAGAACATGGCCCACTCCTCTCAAGGAGTTGGGTTCCAGAGCCCAAGCTGTGTGTGGAGGTGAGGCCGACTATCTCTAGTCGGTATCGCTCAACCTCCCCCACGAGCTCGGGCTCCTTCCCCCCCAGTGAGGTGACGTTCCACGTCCCAAGAGCCAGATGTTGTGTGTGCGGACTGGGTCGCCGAGGTCTCCGCCTTCGACTGCCGCCCAGTCCTCTCTGCACCGCTTCACCACGGACCCCTCTGCAGGTGGTGGGCCCACAGGAGGGACTGCCCACGTCATCCCTTCGGGCTGAGCCCGGCCGGGCCCCGTGGGCTAAAGCCCGGCCACCAGGCGCTCGCATACGGGCCCCGACCCCAGGCCTGGCTCCAGGGTGGGGCCCCGGCTGCGCCATGCCGGGCGACGTCACTGTTTTTGTGTTAGTGCTGTCCATGGTGTCTTCTGGACTGCTCTTTGTCTGACTTGTCACCTGAGACCTGTCTGCCATGGGAGGCCCTACCAGGGGCATGAAGCCCCAGACAGCATAGCTCCCAGGATCATCCGAGTACTCAAACTCCCCCACCACGTTAAGGTGGCAGTCCAGGGGGGAGCAATCTTTTTGTATTAACTGATATACGGTATAGTGGTTAAGTTACTGTGCTCAGGCGGGAACGGGATCGCAGTCTGAAATATTTCTATTATATTCAATGACAGACTGCTCAAGAACGGTAAAAGATAAAAAATAAGCCGTTTTTTGCAGATTACAGCTAAGAGCTAAGAATTTGTAGGATTAATACACTTTGATAGGTAGTTTTTGGAATTAATTATAACATGATGAGTGTAGTGAACAAGCTTTTAAAAAGACATGCTAAATTTTTGTTTCGAGTTCAATACATAACTACATAACAAATTTATTTTAAATAACTAAGTATCAACTCAAAAAAGGAGCACTATAAAAACAACAACTCAAAATTGTTCACCTTTCTAAGATTTTTGCATTCACTGACAATAAAATTGCCAGTTGGAACTTGAACTGTCTGTTGTGAGCCACTTGAACTCACTTTCAGAAGTTACTGATGAAAAGTTCTAACCTTGCCTGCAAGCTGAATTCTCGCGGTATTTGTGAGTTCACAAACACTCGAGAATACATCTTTCCCCGCTCCCGCCAACCCTTTTCGAGTAGAACATCTAGGTGTTCAAGCCAATCACGCGCCAGTCTGGGGGTTTAGGGCGGTATATCCGGGTTTGACGAAAGCAAGAAGTGCCGGGCCGAAGCAAAACAAACATGGCTACGCAGGAGGACGGACGCGTAGCTGAGGCTATCAAGTCAGTTTTAGCAGAATCTCCAATTTCTTTTTTGAAAGATGAACAGCGAGAGGCGCTTTGTGCATTTCTGGACGGCAACCTTGGTAGGCGGGCACACAGCGTCACTTCGCCCAATCAGCTTGAAGTATTCTGCTGCTTATCCCTCCTTTCCCCGAAAGGATTCTCCTGCAGAAGTCCCCGATTGATATTGTGGAGAACGCATTAGAGTTCTACACAATCATCAATCTGGCTCTTGCCAGGTTAGAAAAGTTCACCTTATTTGATAAATTAAGTTTGAAGTTGTAGTTAAAGTAAAATCAACTTAATCAACTTCTGAAAGTGAGTTCAAGTGGCCCACAACAGATTTTGTTGTGGGCCACTTGTTGTGGGCCCACAACAATTTTGTTGTCAGTGAATGCAAAAATCTTAGTAAGGTGAACCATTTTGAGTTGTCAATTTTACCGTGCACCGAGTGAGAGTGAGGTCAACTTATCTGTGCATGCTCATTTCAAATTTGTCATGGCAACCGGCTGCAACTAATTTGACCAAATAAATTATTGTATTTATTTTTACCAACCGTAATCGAGAGGGCCAAGCCAAAGTAGCCCTATATAGTCCCTGGGTCAACCACTCAGGATGTTCTAATTGTAATCAAAGGACACTGTGCCTGAATGCAGTTCTTGTTAGAAACTAAGCTCTAAATGAGTTGCATTATTACTTCTCAATCTGAGAGTTATAAGAGTTCATGACCTTAAGACTAATATGACTGTCTAATGAGCTTATATTCTTTAGTTCATGGCATTTATAAAACTAAAACGGATTAGTACAAACAATGTGTAAGTTAGTCTAGTGAGCTAATGAGTGTTAATAAAGACTGTGTTTAATGAACTTATATTGTTATGTTTATGGTATTCATAAAACTAATCTGTATTGAGGGAACGAGTTTCCTTAAGAAGCACTAGTTTCCCCACACTACAGTGTGTGTGGCACGGTGGCTGAGTGGATGGCACTCTTGCTATCCACTCAGGTCCTGGGTTTGAATCCTGGTCAGAACAGGGCCCTTATGAGTGGAATTTGCATGTTCTCTGTGTCTGCATAGGTGTCCTCCAGGTGCTCCGGTTTCCCCTACCCAAGTGACCTTGGTCTGTAAAAGCGCTATATAAATACACATGAGGATGAAACAGGATGATTTAATGTGGGGGGTAATGTAAACTCAAAATAGTAAGTTATTGCAGCGGACTGTAATCTGAACTTAAAAAAGTAAGTTTTTACAGACTTGAAAGTTCCTGTTACTTGAATTACAAAAACGTAGTTGCCAGAAAGAGAAACACTCAGCTGAAACAACTTAATGACTGTAGTTCTTCCAAACGTACAGAATCAATTTGATGCCTTCATCTCAAAAGTGGGGTGCAGCCAGTTACCTTGAAATTTTGAGTTGAACTAGAAGAAGTAAAAAAGTAATATGTAATTAAAATCATGTGCCTGAACATTTATTTTGCCCTTGTGTTTTGACAAAATAAAACCTTTTTGTATTTAGCAAATGTCTCCGTCCTTGTTCATAAATTTACCAATATTATACAGATTTACTGACAAATATAATGTATGTAATGTAAATAGAAGTAAAAGTATGTGGTAGGAAATCGTACGTTTTGAACCCCTTTATGCATGTGTACAGACCAATGAATGAAACAAAGTCTTAAGGCGCGTTCAGACCAAAAGCTTCAAAAAGCTTTTGACGCGCTTCAACTGACGCCGGGATAGTTTTGTCATTTTGGTGCTTGAAGCTTTTGACGCGAGTGACGCGCCTGACGCCGGTGGGAGGAGCTTCTCTGTTGTCTGTGGGAGGAGCTTCTCTGTTGCCTGTAGTCAGGGCAGCGGTGGATTTTTCAATGAGCAGCGAGCCTTTATTTGTTATATAAAGCAAAATAACGTTGTTGTAGGGCTTCAACAAAACATGTTCTGGGTTCACCACAGACTTGAGAGGCTGCAGTGTTTGCAGAGTTCCGTCATTTACTCCAGGAGCTGCGTACGGAGGAGTTTCGCTTTCAGCGGTACTTCCGCATGTCACTCGGCCAGTCTGAGTTCTCAAACCCCGGAGCTCGCCTCTCCCCGGCTCTCCCCGGCTCTCCCCGGCTCTCGCTCGCCTCTCCCTGCCTCTCCCCGGCTCTCACTCGCCTCTCCCCGGCTCTCACTCGCCTCCCCCTGCCTCTCCCTGCCTCTCCCTGCCTCTCCCTGCCTCTCCCCGGCTCTCACTCGCCTCTCCCTGCCTCTCCCCGGCTCTCGCCCGCCTGGAGCTGCCTTGCTCTGAGCCAGACTCATCGTCAGCCTGTTCTTATTTTAAATAAACTACGTTTACTACACAGCATGTGTACAATGATTTTGTTACTCAGAATGTTACTACTCATAAAAATAATATTACTAATAACAATAATGACAATAAAACAGCAGCAGCATGACTTCTCTTCATGACAGAGACAGACCCTCTGCTGCTGCTGCTCCTCGTCTCCTGATTGGTTGAAGCCCGCGTCAAAGCTTCAAAAGCTCAGCTTTGCTCAACTTCGGCGTCAGAGGGATTGTTTTGATACGCGAGCGTTTCGCGCGTCAAAAGCTTCAAGTGAGCGCGTAGTACGCGCGACTCTTGAAGCTTTTGACGCGCGTCAAGTGACGCCGGGGCTCTCGGCTTCACCTGACGCGCTTCACCATTCACTTTCAATGGAAACCTGACGCTTTTGACGCCGAAGTTAAGTCCGGTGTGAACGCCCCTTCAATACGATCACAGATTTATTAAAAACAAAAGTTAAGTGCAAAACCAACAATTTATAAAGTCCAAAGTACGCATGTCTCTTGAGACCAGGTGAGGGAACAAGTGGTCATTTATTGCTTGTTGGTAATCTCCTCACTTAAATTAAATATACGACAACTTACGTACAAGCACAAAACAGAATGGCAACACGCAAAAGAGCAAGATACAGCACACTAGCGCAGGAAGGAAGTTTTAACCAGTTATTTCCAGGATTACCACAGATTAGTCACAAATCAAGAACGATTGGCCCCTGAAAACCTTCTCGTTCCGTGTTTGAATTCTTTCTTTGGCCTAAAGAGAGTAACGGGTAGACCTCGTCGTCCGACCAGGACATTGACTTTTGGGGCTTTCTGTGCGATTCCATTTCTCTCAAAGAGGACGTGTTACTATTCATGGTTATAGCAGAGCTGCCGGTTTTAAAGATGGCGGGTTGGGTTGTTTTTACTAAAGGGTTGGACGTCGCTTTCAGTGTGGACACTCGTTGACCAATCAGTGTAAAGCAGTCGGCTAATGTCACGTTATGGTGTAGCTTTGGCACACTTAGAACCACTGTCGAGTGGTACACTTATCCCAAGCTCAACCCTAGTGGAAATGCAAAATAACCGTGCCACACCGTACCGTTACTGTGGAAAAGCGGCAAAAGAACATGCTTTTACTCAGAAAGGATGAGGAGAGAAGACAAACGGTGCAAGCTCCTCTTAATGAGCTACTGAAGAAAGATTGTGTTACTCATTGAAAAGTTGAGGTTGCTGATTGTGTTTGTCTCTGAATGTCATTTGAAAATTGTCCATTAAGATAAAAATGTAAAGTTCACTCAAAACCCCTTATTTGTTTAAGAACAGAAACGCATTGTGGCCTGTACAGCTCCACACATTGATGTGTACTCACCAGAGGAGGCCCCGGCCCTTTTCCGGCCGGGGGGATGAGCACCCTGAGCTCGGGCCTGCTTCTCCCCAGGGCCAGGCTTTGCGCTTGAGGCGGCGGAGGCGACTTGGCGTGGACTCCCTTCTGTCCCAGGCCGTTTCCTTGAGCCGTGCACAGCAGCCCCGGGGAGCTTCTGGGGTTCACAAAGCCATTTCCTGAACACACAAAACAACAACATCATCAGAGCCGAGGCGCTAACTGCTAACCGCTACCTCTACGCTGCATTAACCGTGTGCGCCTTCGGGAACTTTTAATAGACGATGTAATTAGCCCGCACCAACAGGCCCGCCGCAGAATTGATGAGGCTTTGGGTTTTATTGCGAGCGATTACACCGAAGTATGTTGTCGGCGACGTGGGCTGAGGAGCAGTTCACCCACAAATGGACTGTGACCGCTCAGGCAAACAGTAGGGGACTGTAAACAACTGCTCCGACTGCTGCATGTGTGCCAAGAGTTTGGAGTGTCTGATCAGGAGCAAATATGATGCGCTATTTGGGCTCAATTTGCCCTTAAACATTCAGGCTTTTTAAATATATAGAGAGACCCTTTATTTGTTCCACAGTGGAAATGTCAGTAGAAGCTAGATGTATGATAAAGCTGTAAACGCATTGAGGATCAGACCATTGTTATGTTATATTTATTCTGTAGCTGAACTGTGTGTGAAAGTACATACATTACTTTTTACAATTTTAGTGGTTTGATTCAATCTCTGAACGAGCACAGATCCGTTTGCTCTAACATTCATATATTTTTTCTAGTCTGTGACTTCCTGTTACTTACATGGCAATAAAAAGGATTCTGATTCTGACACACAAACACACCAGAATCAACCTCATGCGGCCACCGGATAACTTGAGTTTGAGACCCCTGTTGTTCATGTTTTAGCCTTGTGAGACTGTTTCTAACGATCAGCAAATAAAATATCTAGAAGAAGACAGAAGTCGGAAGCATTTTTATGCAAGGCTACATCTGATTGGAGTAGGAATAGGTTACCCACATCCATAAGATCCTTAACCTTTTGTAGCCGTGTATTTACAGTAAGTACATTTTAATTCTAGAGATTTTTAAAGTTTACAATTAGACATTCCTATTTTCATATCTCCATGTAGCAACCCGATATTGTAACATTTTGTAATGTACATTTTTAGGTTGTATTACTCTACCTGCTGCTGCATGTATGGACTGTATCTGATTATTATTATGTATACATTTTTTGGATGAAGTATTGGTGTGTGGAGTGGGATCTGGGGAAGCAAACCAGTCTTGTATGTGTAAAATGAGTAAATGTTAATTGCTTGTATTGTATTATATGTTTTGTGTTTGTTTTATGTCCTTGGGACCCTTTTGAAAATGAGATGCTGCATCTCAAGGGGCTTTCCCTGAATAAAATCAAATACAAGATCTAACAGTAACTATTCTGTGAGTATCCTGACTTTGCATACACACATTGTACTTCACCAATATTATCAAAACAACAGTACAACAACACTGTGCTTAAGATGATGCCGGTGGATTCCATCAGACTGAATAAAATCCCTGTATATTCCACTCCTGCACTCAATCTGAACACACTTTCCAAGAGCAGTGAAACGGAGCCGGGTGGGCCTGTGGAGAAGGGGCTGTTAGTGACACTCCACCACAGGGGCCCGAAGCGGCTCCTGGACCAGCACATAATAGAACAATAGAGGGACAAATAAACAGTGAGAGGCGTACAATGGATGTGACAGCTGAGTCAACACGCAGCTCTCAACACATCGTGAGGACTTATGCAAGAGCCAGGCGCACTCTGTCATAGAGCGAGGTAAGGATGCAGAGAGCAGGGTAAATGTGTTTTACTGGGACCATAGTATCAATCACATTATCAGAATTAGAAACCATAATTATTGTTTAATTTAGAATTATGGCATTCATCATTATTATTATTATGTCTCTTTTAATAGTAATAATAACGCAACAAAGATATAAAGCTTTCCTTTAAACAATTAAATATATATGCATCAATGACTTTTTTTTTTTTTCAAATGTGGCAGATTTAAAATAAGAGGCCAAAATAATTTATTTTTTACTGAACCGTTATATTTAGAAAATACTCTTGTTCACTGCTGCTCAGGTGAGGACACCTGAAGCAGACCACCATCAGCTCCAGGCTGTCTTCCCCGTGGTGAAAAGGCGACATGGGTCCAAACAACACGCCCTCAGCCAGGGTTTTGTGAATATAGCCATAGATAGTTGATAGACGTAGCAGTCATAGGTAGGATAGGTGAGGTCCAAGACCTTCTTATGTAAGCCAAGAGTGCTCCCAGAATAGAGCCGTACAGGAAAGTGATCAATAAGGCATGATAAACACACTAACGGAGGAGAGCACTGCTTTCACATGAACGGGTCTGAAAGGGCTTAAAGACAACACAAAACCGATGACAGAAATCATACACATCCAACAGTGATTAAATATTAATAAAAGTCCAGAAACGTCTTTAAATGACGAGTTTCCTGCATCATCACCACCGTTCTAAAAATCCAGTGGAAGAACAATGAGAGAGGGATCCGCTCGCACGGACGGACGGGCTATAGATCCAGGAACTAGTGACACAGTACTTTAATTTATCTTCAATAAATGAATTATACATGAATCACAAGTGTTGTATTTTTGTTAATCACATTGTTTAAAAAAAATGTATGCAGACAGTGACAGATACCCTCTCCAAGCTCATTATTTTTGGACCGACCAAGTTCTAAATTTTTTCTTGGCATCGAAAGACGATTTTTATTATCTTAAACTAGTATTTATCACAGTCATTAGAAGCCTTCAATCCTATTAAAAAGCTTTTAGAATAATTGTTAATATGAATTGTTTGTAGCCTATACAAACGATATGTAAATGACAGTAACTTGGTACACTGACCTGTGCCGTGGTGCCTCTGGGGGCCTGCACTGGGGCCCAGGCCGCGGTGCAGAGAACCAGCGGAGCCTTGGCTGAGCATGGCGCTGTCCGAGGCCCCTGGAGAGTACATGGATCCCGGGTTGGACACGGGAACGGCCACATGCATGGAGAAGTTCTGCTGGGGAAGACCGCCAGGCTGAGCACACACCACACACAGACACACAAAGACACACAACACACACACACACACACACACACACAACATCTCTATTAGGATTATTACAAGTATCACTCTGAGGTAGCGGAAAGTACTGTTCATAAAGTCAACGACAATATAGATTCAAAAGTTTTCACAAATGCAAAGTTTTGATTTTGAAAGTCCCTTAACATCCATCGGGTTGTGAGATCTTTTCCTTCTGTAGACAGGTGGGCGTAGGCTTTATCTGACCACACAGATAGGTGCAATGACGAATGAGTCTACTGTGGCTTTTTCTGCTATTTTCTCATGGTGCGGGGCATACACTGTGATTCCATGTAATTTTCAGACGGCTTGTGAGCGCTGCGGTTGTTAGTCCAGAGGAAGTACCGCAGTCTTCCTATAGTCTCCAGCGCAATGTGATTTTGGGCTGTACATAAATATATTGATTTGGTTTTGATTTGATGAACATCTTCCGCACTCCATTTCTTCTGCTTTATCGACACCCAGACTTTCTTCTCCACACACTTCTTCCAGATCATTTGGTTATTTATCCTAAATATTTGAGCATTGTGACCAGACATAGGCAAATTGTCTCACATTCGCTTTCATAATCATAAACAGTAGAAGACTGGACAGTTCAATACTGGGCGTTTTGAACAGTGACTAGTTGGAGCCGCATTCCTAATGTGTTACAACAGGATGACCTACGTGTGTTGCTAACAGGGTTTCTAAGGTAAGCTGGAATTTACCCATAGACTGTTCATGGATGGGCAATGCTAACCTGCTAGCTCAATGAAGCCCAATAAGAAAGTTATCTGGATCCATTTGTCTTACATTGAAAAGTAAACCCACAACTGGCCCTGTAACCAGTTGTGTGAGAAAGGAGTGGGAGATATTAGCCCTAACAACTGACCAATCGGGTGTCTTCTGTCCTTAAATTAGGCTTTAGCTATCGAGCAGTGCAAGCATGGACAGACTGGTACCACTCCTGATTAGTAACACAACCGTTGCTATCAAACACATTTGCAGATTCTCGCTCAAATAACCTGTTTGAGCTTGTTCTCACTGGCTTCTTCCACAATAAGGAGAGCACCCTGCCAGTCCACTCCTTCTACAGTTGAAGTGTTTAGCCCAGCCAAAGAAGGTGTCTGATTGGTCACACATCAAAAATTAAAACTCATATCTCGATTCACAAAGATAATCTGAAAGTAAATTCAGTTTATAGAATGCACTAAACTACAGATTTCTAAAACCCACAATGGTGAGTGAGAGACAAACAGTTACAGAACTGTTTTCAAGGTAAGTCACAAGAAGACAGAGCGAGATGGAGAAAAACTTCGCTCCATGAGCACTTCCCTATTGGGCTTCCTTGAGCTAGCAGGCTAGCATTGTCCATTTATTGGCGGTCTACGTTCACATTGTGGCGTATATTTGTGTTAAAGTGAGGTCCTGTTTTTGACACGTGTGACATCAACCTCCCATGGTAAAGGCACATGAACACACACAGGTTAGAACAGACTCACTCTCTTCACAGAAACCACAGATTATTTGCACGCAGCAGAAATATTAGCATCACTCCTGAGTTAGTTTTAGTTCAAGCGCTGTGGTTAAGCTGTGAAGGTGCCATGATGACATCACAACAAGGACTGTCATATAAAGGCAACTGTCAATGTCTGGTCAAACACAAAATGTGACCGAATCCACTTGTTGACAGCTTTTGCTTTGGCGCTCACCCTGGAGCTCTGAGGGTGGATCTAAGTGGACCTGTTCATGTGTGATGTCATCAGCGTGCGCCCAAGATTCCAGCAGCCTCATCCAGAGCAGAAAGCCACAGTACCACATCGGCGCAGAATATTGAGGATGCATTCTGATAACGAGTTTGCTATGCTTCTGTTATTGGATACAAAGATGATCTTGGTGTTTTATTTTCTATTCTCTCTTTGCGATAGTGAATATTGCTGTGCTTCTTATAAATGAAGATTACTATTGATGTGTGCAATATGTTATCACTGGGTTCACGTTGGGAGCAGTTGACTTGCTTGACTTTTTTATTACAGCCAAAATGATCAGATCTTTTTAAACCAATTCATGGTTTCCAAATGTGTTCATAACCTTTACGCTTTTAGGTCACGTTCGCACTAGTTCTGGTCTGGTTCACTTTAACTGGCCCAAGGATTGATCCATTTAAAGTGAACGCAGCCTTTGTGTTCATTACATGTTTTATACGGCCTGTATTGTACGGTCGAACTGCTCTTGATTGAAACTGCTCATTATTTGTTTAAAGCTGGGGTACCTAAAGATCAAATCTAAAAAAAAATCAACTGCAAAATTAAATCTGAATATAACGAATCCCTCGCTCTCTAAACAGTTTGCTGTCATCACCTTGAGAGAAGAGACAAATATCTGAACTGTCATCAATTGCAAAGATCTTTGGGTGACCTTGGTCTGTAAAATGCACTATATAAATAAAGATGACCCACTACTTACTACCAAAGGGTTAGTCAAAGAGTGACTCACAGGGATCTTGCTTATAAATCTAAATCTAAATCTTCTTGTTTTCTATTAAGATGAAGACAGCATTACTCTTTCGGTTGGGGCAATTCCAAATATTTAGATTATTTATTATTATTTAAGTGAGGTACCCCGGCTTTAAGGACCAAATTGATGTGTAATGCATTTTTAGCTATACAATTTATGAAAGGAAATGTACTGTAACTCGCCGCCGACAGCACGTCAACAGAATGCAAAAACCCTACACTGTGCCGATGTGGTCCCAAGAGTTGGGCCTGAGACCAGCTGCAGAAAGCCAAGCAGAAACAGCCTTCTCACCCCAGCGCTGTACTTACACTTTTATGACTGCGCATCATATTATCAAAGTCCTCATTTATTTGTTTATACTTTTCTTCAGTGTGCGGCGTGAGCACATAGGAGGCGTCGGGCTCGGGGCTATCGCAGCCTCTATGCTCCTTCTTGTTTAGCGCCTGCGTACGACACGGACAGAGACACAGTGTGAGAAGGTGAGTGGGGGAGGGGTACTTACGGCGCAGCGCTTGTAGAGTAAGTCTGAGTCCAAGTGATCGTCCGCGAATGGGTCGTCGGCCTCAGGGCTAGGACACTCGTGGTGGCCCTTGTTTCGTAATTTCTGTAGAGAGAGCGGAGAATCGTCACGTGTGCAGGTGAGGCTATGGAGGGGTGGAGGGCTATGGAGGGGTGGAGGGCTATGGCGGGGTGGAGGGCTATGGCGGGGTGGAGGGCTGTGGTGGGGGTTGAAGCAGGGATCAACCAATATGGTCTGGCAGATGGTTGGTCAATACATTGGCACATTTTTTTTTCTTTCTGTATGTATATGTAATTTTTTCTGTTCTCATTGTAGAAGAAAGCAGTAGTAGATATAATAATGCGGGATTAATATGGATTCCAGGTTATCAAAAAAAAAAAGGTTGAAACACAAAAATATGTTTTTCCCTCCGTCTCTTCTTTGAAATAAACAATAAATTATGAGAAAACTTTGAAAATCATCCTAATTGTTTACTAGTCCATTAGCATTAGCCTCTTCCTTAGGTTTATCTGCATCCTTCAAAAAAACTGTATATTGATAATCCGTTATTGGCCAGTTAAACTGGGAAAATCAGCCTTGGAAAACCCTTATTAGTCCATCTCTTGATGGGAGGGATGGCATACAGTATAATCAGGCAAATGGATTGAGTTGTCTAGAAAGCAAATATTAACCCTAAACATGTGGTGAAAGGCTTAGGTCAAGGGTTTGCAACTCTCAATGCTGGTATGGATATTGGTGCTGATCCAGGAGAAAGCTGGATCAAGACATTTCCATTGATGTATAAAAGGCATATGGGAGGATTTTCTTTTTCCAGGTGGATCATCTGTACTGCTGGTGCTCCTAAAAATCTATCATTCTGGTGAGATACAAGACAGGTTTAAATAGGCGTTCCCTCTGATGAGGGTGGTTCTTTCCAAAATACCGCCTATATATCAGAATGAGTAACTTTGCATCTTGCTTAGAATTCGAGTTTATAAGAAAGTGTATCCCTTGTTTCAAGCAAGGATTATTTGATTTATTGGTCAAAATGTGTCTTGAAAACACTGGAACATGGACCTCTTGAACCTCACAGCAGCTTGGAGCATGTCTGTGTAACCACGACAAACACAAAAGTCATTCCTCTTTCCCCACACACTGTCTCGCTCTCATCACACGTCTGCACTAACGAGACGTCTTCGGGGCGTGTGACAGCTCGGCTCTGCGGACGGTGCGCTTCTCTGTGATTTATGTGTGGCCCTCGGCGCTCAGGTCTAAGGGCCCCGCGGGTCAGCACCTCTCCCCACGGGTCAGCACCTCGCCGCCTACGCACAGGTGCTGTGAGGTGTAATGAGAGCTCCACGAACACGTTCAACAGATGTGTGTGAAGGAAGTGGTCCGCAGCTGATGTTTCCACGAGCACATGCAAAAAGAAGGTTTGTAAACCAGTATTGTACTGTATTCGATGTAAGGCAAGGCAAAGCAAGTTTATTTGGATAGCACCATTTGTACACAAGGAAACTCAAAGTGCTGAACCAAATAAGATAGAAACAATCACACAAAGCATTAAAATCCTAAACAATCAGTGTATCTAAAAGAGTGAAGATAATATCCCTCAGTTGTAGCACAGCTAAACAGAATTGCATTTGAATTTTGTCAGAGAAGAAGTCTGTCTCACATTATCAGGAAGACCCTCCAGATTATAGCTGCATGAATCTGATATGCAGCCTCCCCATTTTTAGTTCAGACTCTGGGCACCAGCAGCAGGTCAGTCCCTGTGCTCCTCAGAGTCAGTGTAGTGTGTACAGTTTTCACACAGAGTGAGTCAAATTGTTATTTTTAGCTCCATCAACGGCAACATTAGGAACTTCTGATGCATTGTTGCAGCTAACATACCCACTTACCTCCAATTACTCCGTTACTGTTTTGCTAATCTACCTCATATAGCCTTGTACTATGCACTCTATTGTTACGATGATTCTCAAAATGTAATTGTGTTGTTTTTGTGACAATAAATTATTTTATCTTGAAATTCTTTGTATTGCCATTGTAAGTAACAGGAAGTCACAAACTAAGTAATAGTAAAAATAAATAAAGGTATGGATTAAAGAAATCTTGAAATGACTACTACAAGTGCAGTTAAAGTTACAGTAGCATCAAGTGACAGTCATAAAGTGCAGTTACTGTAGAGTAGGGTTTTTCTCTGCTTTCAATCTTGGTATATTATAAAGAATGGTCAGACTATGATGTCATGGACGCCTCTAAATTAGTTTAGAATGTTGTCCCGATAGAAGGTGTACTATCAACCATAAGTTTCAATCCACCTTCCCATCAACTCTGACACTCCAGAGCAACCATTGGCCTTTTACTGCATCTCTGATCAGTGCTGTTCTTGTTCAAGAATTTAAGATTAAGATTAAGAGATCCTTTATTTGTCCCACAGTGGGGAAATTTCAGTGTTGCATCACAAGTTATAGAACAGTCTGGGCAGACGGCCGTGTCTTAGTAGGTTTACAGTTGTGCCATAGTTTTCCATCCCAAGATGATGGATTAAACAGTGCTCAGTGAAAAAATTGGAAAAGTCTGTACAACCAAAGCATGCTCTGTGATGCTGTATTATCATTGTCACAGAAAAGCAGTATAATAATGAAGTTAGATTACACTCATGCAGGTGGACTCTATGTATTAGTTAGGTTGACATTTGACGATACCCAATACACAATGTGATTCATATATAGATACAGCAGACTTTCAATTCGATTTGATTCAATATATTTCTTACACTATATACAGTGTATATATATACTGCATATATAAAATATATGTAATACATATCTAAAAATCTATATTGTGTCTAATAAAATATATTGATATTTGTCTTTTTTGCATAACCCTCATATAACCCCATATCTCATAAAGGAGCTCTTATCAGTTATCAGGACACTCTAAAGGCCTTTAGACTCAGAGACCTCTAAAATCAAAGACAAAGTTCGTACGCTAGCGTTTACATGTTTGCGGCACTACTTTCATCCATGAAGCACTGACAGCTCTGAACGTTCTCTTCACCCAGGGCCAGTGATGTAAAAGCAGTGTAAAGAAAAGAGTGTGCGTCAGCGCTGTTTTGTCCACAGCTCCTTGAAAGCCTCTGATTCAGTGTGTTAGCAGCGCGTCACTGGAGCCCCTCTCAAGGATCTCTCTGCTTTGTGTCTGCAGACATGTGGCCCATCTGCTGACCAGGAGGACACCGGACTTCTACGGCATCATTAGTTATTACCACATCTTTTTGTACATTCTATCACCGGCCAGCCAGGTGACCCAAAACAAATGATGATACAAATCGATGAGATTATTGACGCTTTGGGCACCAGAGAATTATCAGAAATTTTCTGTGAAGCAGACAAAAGGTAGAGCCCTAAAACTTTAAAAGAGATAGAAGTCTAGGAAATTGAATAACAGAAATAAATAAAAGAAAATATATTATGTAGTCACGCCACATTGCTGACGCCAGTTCTCTACATGGGAAGGCTTCAAGAGCTCATGCAAATTGATCCAGTGTGAGATCAATAAAGTCTATCTTATCTTAGCAATTCCCTCACAATCAGAATCTTTTATTGCCATTGCCAGTGAAGGGGAAAATTAAAACTAGGAATTTGCTTCCATCCACATGTGTATTTGATGTATATGTAAATTCTGGCAGGTAAAGGATTAGGTATATGCATCAGTATATTGTCTAAACAGGATGTTTATTGTCTAAACAGGACCTGAAACTATTGCGATCAGATATAGTCTTCCAGTATCTACAGTCCAAAGTTACTGTTTTGCAAACAAAGCATATTTAGTCCATTCAAAAGGAATCTAACACAAAAATGTCCCTACATGTTTTGACTATTAGGTATTAGGTATATGGTGAATTATCATAACATATATTTTCCTTCCTCCACTTTTCCCCATTAAAAGCAGAATTTTGCAAACAAATCAAATCACAACATGCTGTCTTCATCTTAATACCAAAAATCGTATCTTTCTAATACTTGGAAGAAAGAGCCCTGTGAGTCACCATTTGACCGTTTGAACTGATTGAATGAGTGAGGGTGGTTCTGTCTGAAAAAGCTGATCGAAACATGAGACAGAGACCAAAAAAACATCCATGTGAAATCTGTTTTGCATAGGTATATTCCTTGTGCTATGAATTAAGATTGAGAGATCCTTTATACATCCCACAGTGGGGAAATTTCAGTGTTGCATCACAAGTTACAGACAGTAATGAGGAGCACACAGCACAAGATAAATTAATAATAATAAGTAGAGTATAGAAATCTATATGCATGCGTACATGTTAGCAGCATGAGGGCATGGGACTAAGTGACTCAGTAGTACATTCTGACATTATTAAAGTTATTATTGCACAGATGAGTAAATTGGCAGGTGTGGTAACTCAGCTTGAATGTTAGGTAACCCAGCTTTAAATGTAGGTTTCTCAAATAAAAACAGGCACCTCCATTGACTAGACCAAATACTACTGCTATTAAATGATCTCCCAGGCCACTGTTAGGCTCACAGTCTTATACAATTTGGTGCCATCACCCCTGTTTGGGGCCGTTCCATGTAACGTGCTTATGCGGGCCAGTGGATCGCCTTTATCTGCAAGAGTACGGTCCTCTCTGCACATCTTTAAGCGCCCGCGTGATCTGTTTGTGTGCGCGGCGCAGGGCATATTGGGCACAAAGGCGGGTCCAGAGGAAAGGGCTTCTCTGGTGTGTTTGCTGATAAGGAGAATAGAGGGGAGTGTGGGTAAATCCCCGACTTCCACAGGCAGAGCACAGTGAGTACACTGAAGAGAGAGACTAAAACAGAGGTGGGTAATTCTTTTCCTCCGGGGGCCTCATTGGGATATCGGTACATTGTATTACTTTTTATTTCACTTTGGAAGAACTTATATGAGTGTTCTGTTCAAATGTAATAAAATGTGTATTTACAGTTTTAAGTATTTACAGAAGATAAGAGAGGGAAACGTGAGCAGATCTTATGTTACAGTACCTTTGTGTTTGTGTAAAAAGTGTGTTTTGTTCTTTGGTTTAACATATGACAATGTGGGACATAATATTTTG